TTTTTTTTCGGCAACAGTTATACTAGGTTTTTTCCTGCCAACATTTTCAGCTTCTCTTAACTCATGTCTTAGGTAGGACGCCACGGATAAAACTAGCAGAAATACATTGGTAGATATCCAGAAAGAACATACATTAAGTTTACATCTTCTAAGCTGGATTCACCATCCCATTAGTATTCCAGCAAACCCAAAAGGAGTAGTACCAACATATTTTAGTAGAATACCAACAAAACCAATGCAGCATGGTACCAATTCAGTGAGGCCTCTAATACAGAAGTACTTGAGTAATCATATGATTGTTAGAATTTCACACCTACATAAAGTTACAATGACATGCTTAAGAACCTTGCTGAATGGGAATCCAAGTTAAAACCTATATTCTATAAAATAACTTTTTCATAAACAAGATAAGCAGGACAATTAAGAGTTGCCAGAAGCAAAAAAAATTGTTAACAGTTCCCAGAATTTTATTACTCAAAGTTTAGCATATATGCCAAAAAGCAACCTTCCCAAATCCATATTCCTTGTAACAACTGTGTTAAAAGTATATTAGAGAAAAACAAAAAATACCTAATCTTGTATCTTCACCAGAAGCCTGAAAATTTTATTTAAATATGTGCTGAAAATTGACACAATTTACCTTGAATAACTGAATCCACCTTTTTTGTTCCGTCTGTATACACTGCTGCATTTCTGTATTTTTTGTTACTCCAACACTTCTAAATGCTGCAATATATTCCTCACGAACCTCTGGTTTTGTTTCTGGGTAAGCCAACTTTATGATTCCTAAACAAGCATCTCGAAGGCAGCGTGACAATATTACAAGCTCTTCTAGTGTAAAAGGCATCATTGATGATTGTCTTTGACCTACAACTACATAAAACACACGTATAAGTTTCTTTAAGTGACTTTTTCTTAATCGTTTTGTTATTAAAAAATCCACTTATTTCACTGGAACTTGAATGTTTACACACAAAATCTAAAGGTAGAAAAAGAACATCACCCAAAAGGAGAATGAGTATACATTTATAAAGGTAATCAGGTCTTGTAATTGTTTGCAGTCACAATGATTTTAATTACAATATTCTCTCTTGTGATTCCTGCTATGTTAAATTTTTACATTAGACTGAGGTTCAGCCCTGAAGAACTTCACTCCCTTCACTAAGTCATTAAAAATTATCAAGATTAAGAACTTCCATATCAGACCCTGCAAAGCTAGGGTTCCCAAGGTACAGACCATCTTTTTTTTCCCCCACTCTTTTTTCTACACACAATCACCATGAAAGAGCCAGCTGACAGCTGAGCGCTCAGGGGACTATCAGCAAGTCCGCCCAGAAGAGTCTTCCCCACAGATGTCAGCAAATCATTGCCCAGGAAACTCTGTAGCCTTACACAAAAACATTTTACTAAATAGCAGTGCTTTGCATGCTTGAAACTCACCTTCTATTGGATCACCAAAGAATTCATTATCATGAATAGAAATAAGTGAATGACTAAACAAAGAACTAAAAAGGTAGAAGAGAGGGATAATTCGACTAGAGTCTTCTAAAGACATTGGAGAGCCTCTTGAAATCACTTGAAGGAGTGGCACCATAGACCTTAAAATAGAAAATGCACAATTAAAGAGATGGTTAATTAAATACTCTACAAAAGTATTCACTTCTGCATTCTAGTAAAAATATTTAGTAGTAGTTCCTACAGCACAATAAGGACAGCGCTCTCAGTTAAATAACTACTATTTCCCATTCTTACAAAATAAGGTTACTCTAAGTTCTTGTTAGTATAGTATCTCAGCATCTTGATATATGAACTCTGGTGTTAACTATTACAGACTGCAGATACTTTGTGGTTTAGAACAGAGGCACGAAGCAAAGCGAGTAAGCAGTCTGCATGTCAGCACACAAGAAATCTCTAGGTGCAATGCCTCAGTTCCTGGGAACACGCTTCTGCCAACATCAATTTCTGGACTAGTCAAAGAATAGAAGAAAAAACTCACATACTTAGGATGAAGTACTTGGAGCTTCAGTATTTGTAATACTTATGCTGGTAAGCACTCCAAAAACTACAAAACATCCACCTTATTTTAAATAAAGATTTAATTTATTTTCCTATAATTATTTACAACTGTCCAATTCCCAAGATTTTGCTCAGTTTTATGAAATCATAGGAGCTATGTAACCATTACAGTTTTGTTTTCAATCATCTTCCACGAGCACTGTCATACCACCAATTGTCTCCTCCTCATTTCACTAGATATGCTCTACATTAACAAAGACTCAGTTTCAGAAATGCTATAATACATACCCTGTAATCATTCGCGTAGTCATTGAAGATATCAAATACCAAAGATGCCTCAGAAATCTGGCGTTAAAGGCTAAACTATAAAGAAGCCTGCAAGAGGAAGTTGAAATAAATTGTGTCTTCCAAAATACTGTATTCACAAAACACAATGCTTCTATACGAACTTTTCTGTCAAGCATTTCTCAAACATTCATAATTCAAATTTCTTATTTCAAGATGGAGGTTCTTATTCTAATCAAATCTGGTGAAAGGCCCAACGCTGAAAAACAAGCATATAAATCCTTATACCTAAAATACACAGTATTCTTTAACTCAGCAACAAACCACACAATATAGACCTAAGTTTGCAGTATTCCACAGAGTTAAAACACATATTAAATAAAAATAACATATACTCTGAGTTATTTATCTGGGATTTTGGTAAAATTATAATACAGAAAAATACACCAACTAGTTAACAGGTCATGTCCATGGTTCTTCTGACATTAACAAACATAGCAATTTTTGTGAAAAGTAGAGTAAAATACCTTAAAGTTAATTTATGCTAGAAGCAACTATTGATTTAAAATTATGTAGCGATTTATATATACTCTGGTACATTCTGCATGGCACATGTAAATCTAACAACATCAACGGAACAGTGTTTGTCGGGACAGCTACCCATACACATACACTAATCCATCTGTAGACAGAAAATGGTTTGTACACCTGGAAAAATAAATATCTGCGTTCACAAGTCAGTTATACACAGGACCAACTTTAACCGTGTTATTTCAGACATGATTACAGCATGATAAACTTTTTACAGAAATGAGGAAATAAAAGGCTTCCTGGAATTAAAAGGTCTCCCACAGCCCATTTTTAACCCTGCAGAAAGCAACATGTGTAATAAACATCATTTGAAACAATTAGTATCTTCTAGGAAACCAAACAGGATTTGACTGACTAAACTGTAATTTTTGGATATTGAAGAACTATATTCAGTTAGCTACCCTAAATGCTACTTTCCTAGGTCTCCTAATTACTATTGGAATAAATAAGGTAAAACAGGTCCACATCTCATCTCCTCTCAGAGGTCAGTAGCCTCATAGTATCAAAATTCCCTGTGACCATGCATAGGAAAGGTAGGAGGCTGGGAAATGGGAGGAGGGAGGGTAGTCTAGAACTGCTGCTGCCTGAAAAAAACAGTATTTATCATGGACCACAGGGATACATTAAAATTTTCTAGATGGCAAAAGGAAAGGAAGCATACATCTCATTAAGGAAAAAAAGTAAAGTATCAGTAAACACTTGAAAAACACTTGAAAATGGTTTAAAGACATTAAAACAAAAACCCCACAAGAAAACCTACATGACCACTCACAAACACTGCACAGTGCCATATGCCTCTGGGTCCTCGCTTACTAAGGCTGTTGAAGCCCTGCAGGCTCTTTTTACTGTGGATACTCTCATGCATCCACGCAGCCAGTCCCTTCTTCAGGCTCTCATTCCACATGCATTCACCAAGCCAGCTGCACAGGCAAGAAACTATGCAAGGACAAAGTAGCATTAGGAAGGGCAGAACTCTTCACCACACAGAAAAGGATCGAGTTTTGCAGGTATGGGGAGTTTTGGAAGTACAATGGGGGCATGCAGAAGGGAAAATGAAATACAATCAACCTCTGGTTTGCAGTGCATCTTCGCTGAAGTATCACCCCTCTTGTTTCAAAAACTCTGAATTTTAAATACATAGATCAGTACAGTTAAAAAGAGTTGGGAGCTTCACATGTTCCAGAGAAGTTGCATGTTGGTGATCGTTACTAAGTTGGAGTCAAATTTGACAGAACTGCAGCTAACGCCAGCTTAAGATAAGTTTTACTGTAAAATTAAGTTCTACTTTAAATATGTGAAATTTTTGAAAAAATTCAACCTGAATTTGATACATGGGAATTTACTTCCTTCTAAGGCCATATTATTTTGACATTTGGGTGGAAATTATGCATTATCATGTAAGGAAAGGCTTATTATATCTAGCTAATTTAGAATAAGGATTCATATTTTAATGTTTAAATGTCTGAATGATAGCTCAGATGTCTTGGTTTCTGAAATGAGAAATTTCCTCAGTGACCTTCAGTTTTCAGCCTCCTATTTGAAATTAAAAGTAATTTGGCACAGTGCCGTTAGGTCTCATAGGGCTTCCAAGTAAAAACTTGTTAATTTTACAATCATCCCTGAAAATTATGTAATAGTTTTAGCAGAAATGAACAAACATTATGGACACTGAACCTATCATAATGTAATTAATTTTTTCATTCTAGCAATATTCAGCAATAATGAAGGGAAAAAAAGGACAAACCTTAAGAGCTTATAATAATAACCTTTGTCTAAGTTTTAGCCATTTTTATTCCATATCCGTGATTCAGGCAGTCAATTGTAGCAACTGCTATATTTCATGGCTCAGTTCCAGAAATGCTGAATGTATTCAACTTTCACATTTCCCTTCCCTGAAAATCTGGTTAAATACAAAAATGCAGATTTGGTAGAAGATGTTATCATACAGCCTATGTTGTCAATATGAAATACCTATGAAATTTGAAGCAGACGAGTTCATCGATTCTAAAGTTTCCATACTGTTACCAGAAAATAAACATGAAACTGCAAACTAGACACTGAAGGGTGAATTAGGCCTCGTGTTAAAAAAATTTTACATCACTAGATTCACCTGAAATATAGTCCATTGCGAAAGGAATGACAGCAGAAACAACCTATTACCCTCCCACTCCAAGTACAGAAACTGGCTTTCAAAGTAGAAGATAACAATTATAACAACAAAAAACAAGCAAACAAACAAAACAAAACAAAAAAAACACACAATGAAAGGATGGCCTTGGAAAGTCATATCTCTGCAAAAGTTCAAGAAATTGGCTGTACTAAAAAGTTTCAAAATTTTTTGCTTCACACTGAAAAACACCATAAAAATTTTAAAAATTTAAATAAAAAAAAAAGTAAAAAAAAAACTTTGAGAATTAAAATAGGTCAAAATCTACCTCATTTGGTCTTTTTCTTTGGCAGAGAAAAGATGTGCATCTGCTAAAAAACAGCATTTCTAGATTGAACTACATTAAAATGACACAGCACAAGATTGTAATTCTTGATAAACTGCAGAATATTACAGGGATATCTTATATACCCTAAAGACAGAACATTACCAATCCACAAAGTTCAGAGACCAGTTAATGTAAAGCTTGAGTGTCCATACAATCATGATCACTTTTTCCTTTAAAGAAAAAAAAAGAACCCACACACAAATACCAGAAATCAAAAAGATTAAACATTATTTCTTTTTATGTAAATTTTTATAATCTAACTCAGGGGTGTGATTTTCAGTATTCGTACTATTCTAAAAACAAATCAAGTTAAAGGCTAAAGTTTAAACCCTGGGTTTTTATCCCTCCTATCTGGTGGTTCCACATTTTCTTTAAAATCTCACTGCATACCACCAACCTCTTTATTATAAGATCATCATACGTGGGTTTGTATAATGTATTCATTAATAGATTTTCAGTAAAGCTCAATATTCAGATTTAGCACTGTAGTTTGAAAGAAGAACCATTTTTCAACTACCAGAAAGGATAAGCTCCTTTCAAGTGAAAAAATGCACACTGTCTCAGCCACAGGCTATGATAGAGTTAAACTCACTCTAGTGATTTCTGCTAAGTATCTATTTTAATCATACCAAATTAAATTATCTGCTCCCAAAAGTAAGTACATAACGATCATTTATTTAGAACCCTGTTTCTCTCTGTAGGTATCTAATTGTCCACAAAGGCCACATGATTTATGTGTACTTGCCAGAATAGTATTTTGGGCACCTCTGGTTTAAAAAAAGTGTCAAATTCCTCCTGCGCAATGGGACAGATTAAATGACCCATTAAGCTTAATTTAGCTGAGGCACCACTACAAGTTAATTAGTTAAAGGCAAGATTTTCAGTCTAGGTCATAAATTGGGCCCAGTTTCCCACTGAGACCATTTAAGTTAATGAAGAGAATACACTAGAATGAGAGGAGCTCATACAGTCTGCGAAAGGTCACTGCTGCCAGGGCAGCGGATTTTGACACTTCCGAACTGCAAGGTGTCACAGGTATGAGACAGCATGCAAACCCATCGTTAAATCAACTACACCGCTCTTTAGGCTGTTCTATGCTTCTGCCTCTCTTCATATTGGACCAAGAATGCAAAGCAATCTAAGCTACTATATTGCTGAGCCACCAAAAAAAAAAAAAAAAAAAAAAGTAAAAACTTCATATACAATGTTTCTGGTTTTAAGAAAAACACAACCATGTTAGGAACATTGCCTAAATAATTACTAAAATAGCCTCATGTAAAGCCTAAGTATCTTCAGCACATGTATGAAGACATGCTGCTCATATTACACCAGAATGTTAGTTTTGCAAACAATTTTCAACCACAGGTTAAGATTAGCCGTGTTGTGTTAATTAAACAGTAATAATGTACAGTCACTATGAAACTGTTAAACCGAGATCAGCAATCACTCTGGGGCACTGATCACATGGCTGACAGCGACTGAAGTCCCACTACAAGCACAGTTGCCATCACTTTTTAGTGTTAAGCCACAGTGATGACTTGAAGTCTATGGTATTAAATTACACCCCTAAATATTTTGCAGAAACAGAATTTACTAGTTATTAAAAGCACAGTTTTGATGAACAAAAGTCTTGCAAATAAAGAGAACTACACTCCAAGACTCATGTTTTCGCTTTTGTTTTTTTAATAATGGTATTCAATAATATATATCAACTTTTCACTGTAAAGAGAAAGCCCTGCCCCTCTGAAAACAAGTACAATTCCCAATGACTTCATTACAATTAGGATTTTATTCTACACCTCTCATCTGGCTTACTGAACACTAGCTACAGCTAGGTTTCTCCAGTTTTGTGGCCTTTTTCCTTAATTGGGTTTGATTGCATTTTTCCACCACTTATTCAGAATTTATCAAAATTCCTAATGAGTAACCCAAACCAATGTGCTTTTCCAGTAATCCACCTTTGGATCCCACCACTCTCTGTAGAGAATCAGAAAGGAACTTTAGAGGCTTGCTCCTTCTGTTCAAAACTACATGGTACTTTTTTAGGTACCTTGTTCTGTTCTTTCTTGGTCTCTGTTGCAAAACCAAAGAAACTACGGAACTAATGCAGCAACACCAATGTTCCTAACACCATACAATATCATCATCAGTCAAATTGAAGATGTACTGAGAAGCCACAAGAAGAAAAAGCATTCAGCTTTAATGGAGTGACATAAGTCTATACTATGAGTTTCTTATCTTTTTTCAAGAACGAAAAAAGCCTCAGAACTATTTGAAACATTACAGAGATATTTGTTGTTTCTGCCCTTCCAAAGCCTGTGTTAACTTTAGCCTAATTTTCTTTATAGTTATTAAAAAGTTATTTTCAGTTATTACTCTCTTTATTTAGAATCCTACTTTGCAGATTTGCAGCCTCTGTGTTTTTAATTATAATTACTTTATATTACAGTTGTAAATGCTGTTAAGGTCTTTGTAACAACCTTTTCCATCTTTTAAACCACTTGACCCAGAATGTTTCCAAACAGAAAATAAAAGACCATTTTTTGAGCTCTTGAACATATTAGAATTATTTAAAAAATACATTATTTCTGCCTAACTATTTCTACATGGTTTAATTAAATAGATACACTTTACTCTGGATATTAATTCATTTAAAAGTTAGTTTCAAAACAAGCAAAGCATCTTTCAAAAGACTATTGTTAAATTTGACAAAATTATTTGGGCAATCAAAAAATCATCAGGCAATTAAAAAAAGGTGGAAATTAATGGCAAAAAGTCTTTAATTGTCTTTCGAAACGGCACAATGTTTACTACCTTTAAGCACTCAAAAATAATGTTTAGGATAGCTGCTCAGTAACTTAGGCCAGGTCTGAAATGTACTGAGAACAGGACAAAAGATTGACACCTCCTGACACAACGATGCCTGGCAAACCCAACACTTACGATTGACTTGGAAGTCAGAACTTAAATGTCTACTTGAATTTACCAAATACCTGCATGAATTAACTTCATTTTGACTATGAAAGTAATTCCATTGGTATTACCGACACAAATCTTAGTATCTCTACTACTTACTTGTAAGATTGATACATTCAACTGTTTTGGAGCTATTCAAAAGTTAAAATTTGTACATTGCTTTCTGTTACAAGATGTTGAGTAGAACTTTCGTAACTCCTGAATTTATCCAGTGTGTAACTAGCTTGTTATCACAAATAACTGCAAAGACCCAGTATGGCTTAGAGGAAATAGGTGCCTTACTCGTACAATTAAAGTTCTGTGTGACTTCTTTATTCATTAAACACCCTTTTCCACACAGTTCACCAGCAAACCTCAAGTCAAAGCAGCGATGCATTTAAACTCAGTAATTACTATCCAAGGCAATGTACTACTTGCAACAATAAAGCGGGCATACTAATTCAACTGCTGCTATGATCTTCAGGTCTCACATCCTGCTCTAATGCAATTAGTCTACAAAGAACTAATTACCCTAATCGAGCAATCACAGTTTCACTGACATCTTACTTCCTCTAACAGCTATAAACACCACTAGGCTAAGATAGCACCTAATTAGTTTTCTGTATCACTGTTTACAATGCAGTTTGAATTGATTATGTTTACAACATTCCCTAAATACTTACTTTACTACCAGCAACTACATACTTATTCAAAACTACCTGCACCAGAACAGTGTTAATACTTATAGGTCTCAGTCTGATAATAAAAAGGTCAAAAATCTTCTTCCATTGTTACTGACGTTTGTGGTTTGCAGCGTTTGTAAAAGAATGTTGTACAAATGAACAAGTCTTTTATCTCCATCAAATCCCTTCCCAAACAACAACAGTGATTTTCAATAGTTTGAATCATTTGAATTTGTAGCAAGAGAGATTTTGGCTATATATTAAAGAGGGCAGAGAACAAGTTGGTTTCAGTGCTCAGCTAGCTAGAGAGGCTGTGGAATCCACATCACTGAAAGTTTTAAACACAAGCTAGACAAACTTCTGCTAGAATGACACTTTACTGCCTCCGAGCAAGGGGATGGATAAACTCCTTTCAAGAATATTTGCAAGCCCTGTTTGTGTGTGATTTTCTGATCACAAACACTACCTGTTCCATAGTCCTCAATGTGCTGATAGAATACTAAACTATTTGCAACTCACTAAACAAACCAAGAGCTTACACTTTTGGATTCAGTGATTACTCCAGAGAGAGTACAATGAACAAGAAGAAAAATAAGCAACAGAAAGAATCCACTCTTTGGTTTGCCTGGAATTATTATTTAAATTTTGAAATTCTTATTTATTTCAGCTGATCATAAAAGAAAACACAGAACAAAAACCCCACAGGGTATTTAAAACAAGTCTATCTAATAAAACCAATTTTAGATGTACTACAGTTCCACATCACTAGTTTTTATACTTGCCTGACTTTTGGCACCATCATTCGGTGTTGTACCATTAGCGTGTGGCAGATTGATGCCATCAGGGTAAAGACCTCTTCACTAGCTGAATCTCTCCAAACCATATTCAGGAGAGTGTTTGTCTGCTGCTTTGTATCCAATTTCTTCAGACACTCCTCAGTTATGTACTGAACCGATATTCTCCCATCACCCTACAAACATATCAAAGAAAAGTTTGCTTTAAGTCTTTATAATGATCAAGTATCCCCTTTTTAAAAAAATAATACTTCAGAATTTTACTAGAACATAAATTTTCTTGTACAATAATTAAAACATAGGCACATATGTATATCCCAGTAGCATTCTTAGAAGTATCAGACCCAAGAGCCAACTTAAATCCCTAGGCAGGCAACTGTTGGGTTGTGGGATCGATCTTTTCACTTAGGCCCGTGGGAAAGACTCACTCTAATGTAAGCATGTTCTGCAACACTTGGATACAATAAGGCAAGATCATTTACTGGCATAAAATATGCAAATAGTCATCTCTTCCTCACTGACATCAGTCAGCATCGGACATGAAATCCAGAAATGAATGTCTGCTGTAAGTTGCTTTACAAAGAGTATTTTCACATTCATAATCCATGGGTTAACAAACAACAGAAGACTTCTGGGTGGCCAATACATGCGTGGGTAGAACCAGAAGTGTACAGAGAGGAATGCTTTCTCTTGGCATAGAACTGAGTGGAGCTGAACCTTTTCTTTTCCTCACTTCCTCTCTTTACCTTGCCCCCAACAGAGCAAAGCAGTCTGGCTCATTGGAGGATACAAGTTATCCAATTATGAATTTTTAAGAAAGAGGGGTTCTCCCCCCCCCTCTTTTTTTTTTTGTAAGGCAGGCAAAAAAGAAAATATGGAATACATAAAAAACTGTCAGGAGAAACACATGAAAAACATATGCAGTAAACAGCATTACAAATTACTGTAAGTTACCTGTGAACAGAACTTTATACTTTGTTTTTACCTAATCACCTCTTAAACATCACCAATATCTCTAAGCCACAAGTAGAATCTGCCAATGTTTACATCACATACAGTGTGTGCGTCTGGCAAATTAGGTATTTTAGTCACACTATCTTGGTAAAGCTGTTGGGGTAATGGTAACACACCGCATCTAAAAATGCACAAGATTGCATGTATTCTGCAGCAGTATGGCTCTTTGTAAGAGGTTACTCTCAATACTGAGGTCTTAAAAATGCTGCATCTTTCAGAAATGTACATCACCTTACATGAAATGTAAGTAGGTATTATAGGAACAGTATCTCTTAGAAGAGCTGGTATGTTTTTGCTTTCAACGCTTAACCAAGAAAATGCCAGGAAGCCTTAGAATGCCTGAGAGACAGAAATCCAGAATTCCCAACTCAGTGTGGGGAGGCAAAATAATCTATGAGCCTTTTTTTTTTTTTTTTTTTTTTTTTTTTTTTTTTTCCAGTGGGGGGGGCAAAAAAAATTAAGAACCTTTTTTTTTTTTTTTTTTTTTTTTTTTTTTTTTTAAATGAACCCTGAATATGGTTAAATCTCACACATTCCACAATGCGTAAGTCCTTTGAAGGGTACTGTCTTTTGAGAGAGTATATAAAGGCCAGTAAGAAACCGTTGAAATTACGTCTCTCCAACTTTGGTTGTTCAAAGCCCTGATCCGAGTGTTAGGAGGTTAAAGTTAGCATGGATTCATTTTACTGGTGGAAGTTTAAACTATAGTGAAAAGTTCTATTTATAATACAGTCTCTATACATTATTATAGAAAGCAGGTATTCCCCCTTTGAGGGCTTTCATGGTAGTGGATATATTTAAATAATTCTACAGGGTAAAGACTGTAGCTGAACTTGTAGTATTTTCATGAGAAAAAAGAAAATACTAAGCTGGAAGATCAGATTGGTATGTTTCACAGTATCTTAGCATCATCACGGACTTACAAGAATATGGAGATCCTGTATCTGTTAAATACAAATTTAAAGAAGAGAAGTTTAAACTTTTTGTCAAAGAAAAGCTCTGTCCTTCAGCAGACACACTACCTGTACTTTAAGATTTCTTATTATAGTAAGGGTTTTGTTTTTAATGTAAGCAACCAGTTCCATTTGCTTACAGTGAGCAGCCATCTATTTTTAAGAAGTAAACATGCTCCCTTCTACATAGAGATAGAAAAATAACAGACTTACAGTGATCATGTTTTTGCCTATATTTACTGCTGCTATAATACAAATTCATTCAAAGAAATTCTGTACTGCTTACTGGTGTAGTAGTCGTTTTACTAATCTCTTCATCCTCATCTTCAGAATCACTGTTTGCATCTTGACAATTTGTACCAGCAGTAGACACAGGCAGCTGAGAGAGAAAAGTTTGGAGTACCCTCAAATACACAAGAAGGCCTTCCTCTGAAAGGGATCCTACAGCACATACATTGAAATAAAAGATCGTTAGCCAGACCACACTGTAGTATAAAGTGTATTTTACCAGAAATACCTGACGAAAACACATTATGCCAAACCTTCCCAAATTAAGTGTAATTTTTACTGCAAAGGGTAAGAACAGCTAATAAAACAGATCTCACCAATACTTTTATCCACAAACTGTCCTTTTTGCTTGGCAATGAACCATGTTGTGGAAATACATAACATATTAACTCAAATTGAAAAAATAATTAATTGGTCATTCAGCTTTCTCACCCAAATATGTTTCTCCAACTGTTAACACAAAGTAAAAAAGCCACGGGGCTTGATCACTTCTTCTTGAACATCCACTTTCTGCTAATAATAGTGCATTCAGAAAGAGTTCGTAAGGGAAAATGGTCTGCACATCAGCAAGCGCTGGAATGATGAAATGGAATATCTGATCTGTAAAAGGTGCTGCCAGAAACTCCTCTGTGAAGGCTGCAAAAATCTGCTGCCTGAAATGAAGAAAAACTGTTTTTATAGAAAATACAGGCAAAATTTCCCACAATTATATCCATGGAATAATAGATCAATTTTCAAGTTTGAACATGCCCATCAAGAAGACTGCAAAGATGTGCTCCATTAATCCTGTGCTAATAAACCAAATTTCTCAGATTACTCAAAAATGAACTTCTTATACTACATGCCTTTCCTGACAGTCTTACATGTAATTTTATCCTTTAAACTTTTCATGAACTTGCAGAAAACTATTCTGAAGTTAAATTCATTCTTTATATTCTTGAAACAAAAAATTAAATAAACACCACTAGTCTTTTTCCCCCCAAATACTACTTTAACACAAAACAACCAGATACAACTAGAGTTTGATTTCTGTTCCATCTTTCTACATAGCTCTTTCTTTTTCTAAGCTATGACTTAGTTATTTCTCTTCATAAACCTCAGCTCCTCTGTCCCAAAGTTCTTTTTATCTCTAAAATTCTTTTCATCTGCCCTTAGCTGCATCTCTGCTCTTACCTAATTTTTTCCACACCTGTGTTCCTGCATATTGTTATACCTGCTATTCTCTGTGCTGTTTATTGTAGTCTTCAGCATTTTATTGCCTTTTTCTTAAACACACCTGAAACTACATTGTTTCATCAATGAAAAGCATTACCAAAAATCATTACTATTGCAAATAAATCAACAAACTGCACTGAAAGAATAGCCAGACACTCAACAACCACAAACTGTGCGCCTCTGACAATAACAAATAAGTACACAAATATCTAATACTATCTTTATTTACCTTGCACCTTCTGGACAGGAGCTATATGTAAAGTGCAATGGCTTCAGAACATTCTCCAGAAGTATTTTTGCAATAGGGACTCGAGAAACATCAGAATACTCAATACTCGAGGGAAGCTTATTGTTAATTAACAAATAAAGCGACTTGTAGTAGCCTGCAAATAAGAAATATCACTTTTTAAGTACAGTATTATTTTTCTTCTTTTCCATGTAAAACAACTTATATACTTAACATTTTTTAACTTGAAAAATACTTTACAACTTAAGTAAAGCTTCATGCAATGAGAAGACATTTGACAATAGTCCATGTCACATTCACATAACTAACAGGATATACCAACAACCTCTTTGGAAACATCACTTTCTAAAATCATAGACAGATAATTGCATCCAGAGTCAGTTTGACTTTTCAAAGACTGACCACTCCTACTGATGAAGGGAATAATTTCATTTTTGTAAACAATGACCTATGAAAAAGATACTCTCTTCTCTTCTGAGTGACTCTAGTCATGTTTTTAACAGCTGTCCTTCCACCCTTTCAGAAATGGTGAATTTTCCCCTCTGCTCCAAAACATGACTGCATCATATAGGTAAGAATTTTGTTGGCAGAATGTCTCAATTCTATAAACAACTTGCCTTAGCAGGCTGAAGAATACAATTACTGCTTCCAAAAGAGGGATCTCTCACACAGTAATAAAATGCATTACCACCCAAGTCACAAAGACACATGTAAACGGTAATCTATTTTTGTCTCACTAAAGTACCAATGGAATCACGTGATTTCATTCGTCTTAAACCAACTTCCTCTTGTTCAATGAACTCCTAAACTAAGACTCAAGTTCCACTACTACAGGAACCACTGTAAATGCATAAATAGTGTTGCATTATTGAGAGGTTCAGTCTAGGACCCTTTGTCGGGAACTACCTCACTTGACATACAATGCAACAAGTGGAAGTCACCACAAAGAAGTAACTTAGCAATGCTGACAAGGCGTACGTGGAAGACAAATTACATACAAAAACATATACTAGCAAAAGCTGATTACAGATTCTTTACAAATTAACCATCGTAAATAATTAGGAGATGGAACATCTCTAGTTGCACACAACTGCTGCTTTTTGGTTTGACTGACTAGAATAATGATTTTTTTTTTTTTTTTGCTAAAATTGATGATCTAACATCTTGCTAAATTTTCACATACCAGTTACAAGGACTGAATATTATACTAAAAGAACAAAGTATAATGTATTAAAGTATTTTGGAAGATATACTTATTATGTAGTAAGCAATAAGACAAACACAAATACTTCTATAGTTTCTGTTATGCCTGGCAAGTAAAATAAATACACTACAAAACCAGTCATTTTTTTTCCTCATAGTGACTTCAACATGTAGTAGTTAAAATCAAATCCTTAGTAACAGGACAAGATAGCCTAGTTCACTGAATGTACTTTAAAACTTAGGAACACAGAATTATTCCAGCAATTAACTAACAAACTGGAAGGTGCTCTTTTTACGTTTTATACCAATGAAGCCAGATCCGAGATGTTTATTTCATAACGTTTTTTTGTCTTTTCTCCCCATCCACAAGTCTTGCAAACTCAAGCTATGGTATCAGAAAGCCAAATTCATTTTTTTGCACATTCCCAGAGTAATAAATTTTCTTTGAGACAAAACACAATTTTGGTGATAACTACACAATTCATTAACTTTCAGTATGTTTGCACAGGTGTAACTGATTGCAGTTTAGCAAACAGTTTTACTGATGATGGTACAAGGGAAATAAAAGCTAGGTCACCATCTCTTTGCTAAGGTGTCTCTAGTGTTAGCAGGATGAAAAGGTAATGCCAATTTGCGATAACAATTAACATTTGCAGTTATAGAGAACAGTCCTGCAAAACAATGCCCAACTTTTACACAACTAAAGCTTAGACCTGGCATGGGGCGGGGGTGCATGTAAACAGCTACTGGAGTAAAACATGTTAGGTAATACCCACCTACTCTCAAAATCTGTGGTAAAAGTCTGTATAAGTAACTCGGTAGAATATTCAATTTATAAACAGAATTTCCGAAGGAATCAAACAGTAATTTCTGAAGCAGTGATCTCATTACAAGTAAAATGTCCATCTAGTGTATAGGTTAGTGTATGCAGCACTTAATTCATCGTGTCTGTGGTAAAGGCAAAACGTGACTAAACAACATGGTCTTCAGGTATTACACATTCTGTTTAATTTTTGAGTATTTCCCAGAACTTCTAGTTCCTAGCTACTCACCTTTTTGAATCATGTAGTGCAAAATTTGTTCAATTAACGATGTCACATAGCTGACATCTTGTAAAACAGGCAAATACGTATTCTCAGATGAAAATACCTCAAGCATTCTCATAGGAAGTGCAACATTCAGACTGTCATCATTGCAATTCTGCAATAGCCTATAAATGAAATTAAATCAAAATTATTTAACAGGATATTTCTCTTATTTTACCACAGGCATATATGCACACTGATTTAAAAATAAACTACAAAAAAAACTTTTCACATTCACCTTAAAATAACTTATTTCTATTTGGTTTCCAAGTGTTCTCTGTAGTTTAGCTATATCTTTTTGTTGGCACCTTTATAATAACAATTATTCCCAATTTCAGCGTTTCTATGAATAAGGCACCATCTCTTTAAATCCTACTAAATTCTTGCTTTCAATGACTTGACAGTTTGGAGGTCTACTGCATGCAGTGGAAAAGAAGCAAAGAATAATACATGTTTTTCCAACATGTATTACTACCCACATTAAAAATGAAGTCATGAAAGCCCCAGAGCAATATGGGCTGGCAACAAACATTGGGGAACGTCATATGTACAACTAAAACAGTGTGTCCTTGATTACAGACTGAAATATTAAAAATACAGCCATCCCCATCCTTTTAGCAAATTGCTTATGAAACAACTACCAGTAACCACAGAAATGGTGAAGATTAAGAACCTGTTTGGAATTAAAAGGATTTGTTAGTATAAGATGTATACAGGCATAGTTGCCCTAACATTCTGCTTGCTTTCCCAGCCATTCCGAAAGACGGGACCTATCAGCAAAAATTATTTTGACACCACAGCTAAGACATTTCACTAAACACAAAAAAAAGATACTCTGACAACAAGACCTTTTTTGCCGATGTAGCTGCAATCAAACTACCACTTTGCTATGATATTACACAGTCACTTTCCCACAGCATCAAAAGCTACAGTTTCTCATGAATCTGAACTTATCCCAGGAAAAACTTTTTTGGCTACCTGTCCCACTGCTCACTTTCTGGGCTTTTGCAGAAAATTAAAGTAGCTCAGAAAGCAAGTATAGACACCTATCATCATGCTGGCAAGGTGAAGTTAAGAAGAGCCTCTTCCGCCATTCTCCCGATATGTATAGGCAGGGACAGTTCTTTCACTCCTTTTGTTTTCCCAAATCACCCAGTCAGGAAGGGAGAGTGGAAATACTAACAGAGCTGCATTTATAAAACCATAACTTCAACTGCACAATTCAATCCAGTGACATCACAGCTGTGTTCCACTGTACATGGACTTTGAAACCCACCACTCAAGTATTCTTTAGTATCTGGTGTCGCTGTTTATTATACATACACTATACACAATTTATAGGTTCAGTCACTTGAATCAAAACAATTTTATAAAAAAGCTTCAACATTAAAAGGAAAAAGTATTTTAAAGCTCTGGAGATTATAACTAGCTCCTATGATTGATAAGAGCAAATATATTGCTTTCTAAAACTAGGCTTTAGCTACCAGCTATTCAAGTTGCCTTGACAGATTTACCTTCCTGTGATCCTCCCACTACAAATAATAAATGTACTGCTGAAGCCAGTAATGTAACTGCTTAACATGCCTTAAATGCAAAATAAACCGTGAGGAAAGGCATCTTAGATAATACTAGTTTTACAGCAAAAATATATCCAAAGCATATCCTTGCAACATTAGTCTAACTTGGATAATACCTTCTAATCACTATCAGTTCCCAAGAAAACCTTCTGGTTTCCACAAATACTGCTAATGATATCGCTATATGCAAACAGTTAAGAACGTGCTTAAGCCTATCCCTAGGCAGGGCATCCTTTAAGCACATGTTGAACTTGAAAGTCAATTCCATTGTTCTTACACAGGAAGAAGTATCCTATACCATGGCCTACATATATATTTAACATAAACAGTCCTTTCCCTAAGATAAATTTACATTTAATACTTCACCTGCTGCAAAAAGAACCAAAAAAGTGCCCAACATAATTTCTGAACACTTTTTAGGCAGTAGCATACAGAAAAAAGAATTTACCTGCAACACAGCCCCAACAGTCTTTTTATTTGGAATAAGCAAGTCAGTCTGTCTGGACCATCCAATTGCTTAACAAACTGAGAACTCTGTTTAATTAAATTCTGACACATCCATACCTGGGAAAAGATATGCATGAGTTTACTGTTTGTAACAACAAGTTATATTACTTATTGCAACACAGACAGTAATACTTCAATCCTGTTTTGGATGCCTTTGGAGGACTTACAAAACACAAAGTAAGACAATCATGTTCAGCTGAGGAATAAAAAAAAATTGTTACACAACATAAACGACACAACTGCTAGTACTAGAAGACTGAATTACACTTACAACTAACTTTACTCTTGCAACAAGTTTATCTGTTAATTTTTTGGTTTTAAATAGCCATAATTCTTTAATGTCCATTATTAATACTTGCTATGAATCATACTTATTTGTACATTTGAGAAGTTTGCAGTGAGTCTGCAATTGATATGCCAGCGTTACTGACCAGTGAGGGGGGGGAAAAAAAAAACAAACCCCCTAGGAATGACCAGAGTGGAACATATTGTTAAAAATTAAATTCTAATATAAGTATATTATTTTTAATAAATTACTGTAATACACGTAGTATTTTCCAAGGCTTCATTTCACAGATTTTGTGTGTGTGTGTGTGCACATATAAAATCTAATTTTAAGTTATTCTGTGTACACGAAAACAGCAGAATGCAGTCCAGCAAAAGCCAGAATTCTTGAAGTATTTTACTGAACTGGTGAAAGCCTTTTTCGCATCCCTTCACAATCTTTTAAGTGAAAGAGTACTTTAAAAGTCCATGAAATAAAAGCACTATGGGTCAAAGTATGTAACAGTACTCACCAGACGCTTAGAATCCTCATTCTGTCTATAGAAAAAGAGTAACTGACGAACTAAGAAAGTCAAATTAGCTCCATTAGCAGTGGAAAAGGTTCCTCCAGATTGGGCCAAATTAGCACAGCGATCAAATTCACTTCTTTGGATAGAGTACTTAAAAATAAAGACATGCATCAATATATCAGTAATGGTTATGATTCAAAACAGAGATGCAAAATTTTAAAAACCTCATCTCTGTTTCCCATCCGAAATGGTAACAACGTAGTAAAATGGATTCAACACATTTGTTAAGAGATCAAAACATACACACAATATCATAGTTAAAGCCATAACTGCTTTCTGTAATTCAGAAAGTACACATTGCAACAAATTTGTTGCTCTTCAAGTAAAGAATACCACATCAAACATTTCCATCTAGCTTATTCAGTAAATATTAGTGAATTTAAACAGATGCAACTCTTTCTTAGAATAATCTACTCAAGAACAGCTTAGAAAGAACATCTTCTTGACTCAAACTATCACCTTAGTCATATTGGAAAAAAAAAATGCTCCACTGGTGTGTGAAAGCTGCTAATACCTAATTGTTTTCATATGCTTTGTCACCTAAAACACCACTGCATAATACCACTGAAGGCAACTGTCACATACATGCTTTGCAGAATAAACGTCCGTCTACTGAAACAGTGAGGTTCTACTGAAAATGTCAAGAGGGAGAAAGAATGTGCACTTTGTGGGCACACACAATACTCAAAAAGGTAAAAGATTTTTCAATGGAATTACTCATTACTAGCAAGTCTCATTCTCAGCAAAACTGTTTTACATCTTTCTAAATAAATAAGTACTTACTTGATGTTTTCTGTCTCTGTACCCTCTTACAAATGACTGGATTATTATTGCATTTTTCAGCCTCCGCCTTTCTTCCTGTAAAACAAAGCAAGAAAATCAAAATCAATATTGTGGAACTGACTCTAATTTCTACAATTTTATCAAATATATCTGTACTCCAAAGGATTTTTTTTTTAATGAAAATTAAGCAGTAATTATTAGTAAAATAAAGTGTTTGAAGGTTTGCATCCAATATACAGAAATCAGGGAGAAAGCTTTTTATGTTTTTAAGTGTAAATTTACCATTAAGATATTGCAAAAGAATTTTTAATTCTCAATAATTATGTAATACTACACAAGTCAAAATACACACATTTCTATTTTATTAGACAAAGTCTTAATACTAAAATGTTGAAGAATTCATCAAATTCAATGACACCATTCCTCCTTCTGCATAGATCAGCTAACACTGAAGACCTGCTTATTCAAATAATTTATCAGTATTATGAGGCTGGTGCAGTTTAGATGGAGGGGAGGAAAAAAAAAAACATATCAGTCAATTATTTGGAGATAATACTGCTGTCAAAAGGAAAATGAGGCTTAATGTTTTAAGCCCAGGAGCACAATATGGAAATTAACAAAAATTCTTGTGCTCTCCTTCAAACCAGACATATAAAGTAAGTCATTTTATGATGTCTTGCTCAGTAGCTAGAAAGAGTAGTTAAAAGCATCCCTTTACAATGGCTCACTTTCTGAGGAACTGAAAGCCAGCTTGCTTCAGGTACTATGGAAAGAGCACTCAGTGAGTCCCCTGACAACACACCCAGCATATCCCAACACAATAAATATCTAAGGGAAGTGGCTATGGTAATTAGGTTTCTAATAATGTCCATATAGTTTCTTAGAGGATGAAAGAGGGAAGTAAATAAAATAGTTGCTCATGAACCTAGAGCTACAAAACAGTGGTTGAGGAAGGGAAAGTAGGAAGATCAAGAATAAAAATCAGAAGCCTGCTTTGAGAAGAGAAATTTTAACCTCATCGATCCTTGAACTATAATAAGCCCATAATTCTCAGGCCACCAAGCAAAACAAAACACCAAAAAGTTTTTATAAATTTCATTAAAATATATTTGGGAAAGTTCATGTAAACTTCCAACTCGCAAAAACTTGGTTTCTAATTTATTGTGCCATAAAGATACATCCAACATAAGAACTTAACCTGAACTGACCACAGAAACACCAAATTAATTTACTCTTCAATGCCAGTTTTATTGTTCTTGGAAACCCCGGTTCTTAAAGCAATTTCTCAGAATAAACATAGACTTGAAAGACTCTAATTACCTCTAGAGCATGGACCAAAATAAAAATTTTGATAGGCCAAAGGGTATTTTGCTCTCCAAAGTGTCGAACAGTGAAAGTGCAAAGTATGGGGGCAAGCAGGAGAGAGTTTCAATTAGAGAGAGGCACTGTCTTCATAATCATAACGTAATGCTCGACTAAAAAGTAGGTATGTTCTCCTTTTCTCCAGATACAGGTTTTATCCTAGAACACATAATTGTCAGTTAGCGACCCGTAATTGCAAAGGTTTGAAGTCTGAGGTCACTGCTAAGATTCCGCTACAAGCATTTTTTTAAAAGCCATAACTGATTTTATTCTCAGAGGAGTCATTCATTTTGTGAGAAGCCAATATATGCCACAGAAAATCACTGTGTGTATATGTGTACATATACAGATATGAGTATATGACTCTGCATCAGCTTTGCAGCAGACAGAATTAAGCAACTGAGTAGGCTATTTCGATATATGGCAAAAAGTTTACAAAGCGCAAAAAAGTCTTTTTGCATCTGTTGGTAAGGACTCACTGATCATAAATTTGATTCGTAACACAGCATTCTGAACTGGTGAAATCCTAGTAACTTCATACTTAAACTTGGCGCATAATTATACACCCAGGTTGGAAAGAAAAAAAAGCAGTAACTGTCCTCAGAAACAGAGGAGCCACTGCGGAACCTGTATTTAATCTAGCAAGGGTCAAACACATCTTTAAGGGGTAAACGGCTCTCTGTTTTCTTGACTAGCACGAAAACTACATAGTTACACTTTTAGAATAATTTTTAAGACCAAAATCGTTTCCACTCATATCAAAGGGGAAAAAATGACAAAACAAACATACTCACTTCAATGCCGTATTACTAAATTTTGTTTTCTTATTGCCACATATATTAATGTTTTAAAACTGGTATTTTTCCTTTCAATGCCTGTTCCTCCTTTGCATTATTCCAGACTGAATTATCCATGGCAGTAAGCTTTGTTCTCAAACCAGGGCTGAGATTTCCCAAAGCCTCACACATCAGCCTTTACAACTGCTTCTCATTGCTCCTCAATTATCAGGTGATTTCAAAGTACTTTAGGATGCATCCAAGCATCACTGTTCTGATTCTACCTCCACATAACTGAGGCACACACTGGGGAAGTGAATTGCTGAATGTCGTCCAAGAAATCATAGCAGAACCAGGAGCAGAAGACAGTTTGCTGACACCAACTCACAGTAACAGATGATGGACAAGGCAAAAAATGCAGTTTACTATCCATATACCTGTCTTTTCTCAACAAAGACTAGATCCAATGAGCACCAAAATAAAAGGGAAAATTCCCTTTGCACCCAGTGCATGCTTAACTACCTTCTTTTGAGATCAAAATCACTTCTGGGAAGCATCTTAAAAGCAGTCAAACAATTTGTCAATTCTAGTATACTGGAAGACTACGTAGTACTTGCAGACTGAAACAAAACATTCCTGAACCAAGTACGACTGCAGCAGACTAAAGTACTTTGGACTGTAAATGCTACTACATCACAGAAAAATCCAGTGTGCATGCAAACGCTTACAGTCTACCTTACCTCTCGTTTTCTCCTTTCTTCCTGAGTACGATGCAGGAGAGAAGCTTTTTCTTCCTGTAAAGCACAAATAAAGATACAATTGCATTTTCACTCAAAAACGTTATTCAAATGTGTTCATGATATTTAATCTAGACTTCACTTTGGGGATTATTCATAATATGCAATTTGTAAAACACTGGAGAAAAGTGTTAATCATTTTCCACTCTTACAAATATATGTAAGGCAGCCCTCTCAAAAGCATAGCGACAGAGGGAAGCTATGAAGGCAAACAGCAGCAAACTGTACTGATCGCTGCCCAGGTTTGTGTTCTCAGCATCCCAGTAATCTAGGCAAACATCATCCATTTGCAAATGGGGGAGCTGAAACATAATAGGGTCCCAATCCTATCAGGTAATACCAATGTTTATCGAGGGTTTTCCTTGCCTGGAGCCTACGTAAGTCGTTGGCCCAGGTGCAGACAGTAAGTGATGGCATGTTCAAAGTAATCACATACTGTTCCAAAGACCCATGTTTTTGTCTAGCTTGCAAAAAAGCATTAAGCTCTTATATTTACTTATCCTTTTCCTCAAAACTTGTCCGGAAAAGATGTCAAAACAGACTTATATAACATAAATGGTAGGAATTTTTTCTTTTAAAATTTTGAACTCTTCACCCAAATTAAGGCTACAAACTGGAACTTTCAGGACAGTGATCCTTCCAACAGAGAAAAAGAAAACAATATTGAAGTATTCATGAGGCCTCTAAAGGACAATACCATTACAATAGAAACCCTGTGCATTAGCTTTTAAACCACAATCTTAAATCAGTACATACAGATTACAAAATATAAACAAAGCTTTATTTGCAAGAATCTCTTAGTGGATGCTTCTGTGTACTTTCCAAGGAAATATACAACATAATTCCTTTTTGATGCAGAGTATTCAGCTCCCACTGCAGACAGTAAGAGTTGAAAGTACCCTGGCACCTTCCCAAATCCAGTCTAAAAGAGACCATAGATTTAAGGAAACTTTTCTTTTTTTGTCTCTATGACACATATAACTACTTCCTTTTTCTCCCTATGCCCTTATTAGTCTAGAGAAGTTAAGAAATAAAACACGCTCTAGCTGAAAATGTATTATATCTGAATACATAAAAATAAATTTGAAGTTGGCAAACAAATGTTTATAAAATATTTAACCACATCTAAAACAACTGTGCTGGAATACTTTCAATGCCTATATGCAGATACAAAAACTGAGGGCAAAACTTTCCTGCATTTCTTTTTTGACAATACAGAGGAAGCAAGGTCATGATTCTCCTAGTTTCTTTAGGATAGAAAATACTTTAACACAGACCACCAAGAGAGAAAGAAAAAAGAAAAACATAGATGCAAAACAGGAATTCAAAATTGGGTTTGTATTTCAGATCATTTCCTGGAGCAAGCATAAAGAAAAAAATCCCACAAGAAGGTTAACCATCTTTTCCTCTAAAGACAGTATTTATGGCCAAAGACACCACTAACTACAGCTATTGCCCTCTAAAGACAGGTTTTTTTCCATGTGTTAAACACAGTATAAACAAATCGTTAACAAATCCATACATAAGAGGATGTATCTCCACTCAAGAAATAGGAAAGGCTCCAGGTCTGCTTGGTAACGGTGAGGCAAGACATTCTGACCTCACACACACAAAAAAGATGAAATCATGTACTAAATTAAGAAATAACCAACAGATGGCTTAAAGTTTTAGGGCTTTTTCTAACAGATTACTTCTTTTTCAACAGCTGATACCCAATGCATTAAAAAAGTTAGGAAAATGTTCTTATTTAGAAGCCATCAGAATGACATCTCTCCCATGTGCTTGCAGAGTTTCATCTGCAGGCAGTGCCACATAAAGAGCGTTTCTGCTTCGAGGCTTTCTTCACCTGCCAGACAGGCAGATGTCAGGTACCAAGTCTACCTATCAAGGTAGGCAGGCAGATATTTCAGGGGGAATGAAGCATCAGCTTGCCTCGATTCCTTCAACCCTAACTCAAAAGGAGCAAACAGCCTTTTACCGAATCAAATTCCCAACGTTTTTTATGATGTAGTCTTCTTTCTTCAGGAGCTTGACATCCAAAGTGCAGAACAGGGAATACACGGTCTGTGTGTTTCGCGCAACGTTTAGTACATTACTAGCAGTCCCTTTCCTGTCTGCTCCTTCCTCAAACAGAAGATACTGGTAAAGACAACCAACCTCAGGCTCTAGCACGCAGAACCACTAAAAGCCTGATTTGCGAAGTTTTCTTCACCAAATATGTGAGGCATGACACAAAGAAACAAGAAAGCAAAGAAACGGTATGTGACAGCAAAACACAACGTGACATTATGGATGATGACTCAGAGTAAGGCTGAAGGGGGAAAGAGGTGAAAACAAGGAAGCGGACGGAGGACAGTACACAGAAAGGAAAGCTTATGACTACCACCGAAGAAATGTTAAGTAATATTTGAAATGTTAATTTATACGTCAGGATAAAACCGCTAGGTACCGTACTATTCATCACAGCAAAGTTCAAAGTCACACCACTGCTGTAACAGACCAGTTGATGAGGACAGCCGCATCTGACAGCGTAACAATGTCAATGCTTCAAAAACTCCAATTAAATACATAATGAAAAAAAGAAAATGAATTAAAACTGCTTTCTTGTCTTCATTTTGCTGAAATACATGATTTTGTTCCAAGTATGTTTACACAACTCCTAGCTTTTACATACCCTAGACAAAGACTGAATAACATAAACAAATATATGAATTATGATTCTTTCTGTCCTGCATTTTAACACTTTGCATCGAGAATGATAAACTTTCAGCCCTCTTGGCTCAAAATTCAGGTTCTGGGGAAAAAAACAGGTATACATAATTAAATTTTTTCAAATACCTCTAGTATTTGTTGACTCTCTTAAAATCTGAAATTGAACACTCCTGGACAGTCATATTAATCAAGCTATCTTAGCTCCATGCAAGTAATTTTAAAACCTAAATATTCTAGATTCAAAGGGGAAACTGAGTAATTATTTTCAGGTATTGTCTAAACACTATAAATAAAAACACGACACAAAAAAAATAATATTATTAATAGATGTTTGAGATTTATTTGTAAGCCACAGGGGTTTATTTTCTTTCTTTCTTTGAGAATGCTATTCTATTCAATATCACAACAAAACATGCAAAGTACAAGGCATAACTTTTAGGAAGTTTTCATGGAAAAACAAATAAGCACGTGAACTTCTAACTTTTGGGGACAATTATGGAGTCTTGTATGATTTTCATGTACAAAACCCAGGAACTTGCACCTTTTTTCTTTCCTTAAAATGAGCAACGTGACCTTTGACCTGAATTTAGCTTGAACCACATAAATATCAGCAACAACGCCCAAAGCATATGAAGCAACCTAAGCAATTTATACAATAAAATTCCTTTCAACACAAGTATTTAATAAGTCCAACAAATAAAAGAAAGATTTTGTAGCATTCATTTGTAGAGAACAAAGGGGGACACTGGGAGACATCCCCCTCCCAACATTATTTTAGACAAGATAAACTCGACTTCAATTCGTTTTTCTGAATATTAAAAGAAATTAGCACTTTAAAAGACTCACAATGTCTTGAACTGAACCTTGACAATTCTATCGGACACACAGCTCAGCCAGCCTGAGTAAACTGCCTTAAAACAGTTTGTGACTCTTCGTATCTCTGATTATTTACATCATGATTAAGTTTATACATAGAAAAGACCATCTTCCAGAATTTTAAAGTACTTAAAATATGCCCAGGAAGAGACACATTTGGCCAGGGAAAGCCTGGCCTCACTGAAATCAATGTCACAGTGCTTGCTAGAAAACATCTCAGCATTTTAGCTCAAATTTTACTGTAGTATGTAGGGAGTATCTGGAACCACGCTTATCACAGTAGCTACAAAGCCACACACAGTGGAACCAGGCCTTGACGAGAGGCTCTACAAACCAAGTGAAATGCAAGCAAGTTGCTTTTAAATTTACTCTCAGTTTGCCTCTATTATGATTTTTAAAATGTATATTGTACACATCATTGTAGTTGAGTGACTTTTCATTTTCTCAGAGACAAGCAGAACAAAAAATCTATCTAGAAAAGCAGAAATTTTTGTTTTGAATTTGAGAAAATAGCAAATAACTGAAAACAACAGTGTAATCACTGCTGTCAACTAACTACGAGTCCATCATTCGTAGCTTCCTTTCAAATGAGGAGAATTTTAAATGTCACCAAGACGGAAAAAATCCACAAGAATCTAGTATGCGTTAATTATATAGCTTCCTACTGACAGACAGTCATTATTTTACAACATGATGGCCTCATCATATTTCCACACCACAGATCTGAAATTCAAAGAGTATTCCAAGACTTAGGCTTTGACATTTCAACGTTCTGGACAAAACACAGTTCTGACTCAGAATGAGGTATGCACTTGCATAAGGATCTACACCACATGCCTTATGGGACAACGGTCTTATGGAGCAAAGCAGTGCAATTCTTTCCCACCACTCAAAAAGAAATTGTAAATTTGTAATTGTAATCTAGAAATCCTGTACTATAAAAACCTAGCATAATTTCATTTCCACTGTGACCTGGTGTAGGTTCAAATAATATGTAATAGAACAGTAGTTCTTCCTTCCTGAAATTATTAACAACTTTCCTCAATCAATAAGAGAGAAACAAAACTGTGCTTTAAATCTCTGCCATCATTGCTTAAATCCTACAGACATCTGTCACCATAAGCAACCCCAACCTGTGCAGATCTCTCCATACACTGGCATTCTTACAGCCTATTGTTTTTAAATCATTAATTTTTATTCCACGAGAAGTTACTCCATGCGTAGAATAGAGACAACAAAGAGTAAACAAGGTGCTTCTGGAGTTCTACCTCTGCACTTCAGCTGACAGCTGGGGGAAAAAATATACAGGAATCTAATGTTTAATGTTATGCTATTAATTTAAGAAAGCATATCAGTAACTACTGAAATAAAATAAATAAACTTTGTAAACTGAAGATCTTTACTTATTAAAAATGTCCATATTAAATTAGAGACTTTTTAAAATACAGTCATCACTGTTTGTTCATTAGTAATTTTCCACGTCTTCCACAAAAACAAAAAACAGAAAAGAAACTCAGTGAAGTTGGTTTCACTTTCACCACAGTGCTAACTCATCTGTATTACAAATTCTTGAAAAGGAAGATTTTTTTAAAACCATCTCATATTGTATTATAATTTAAAAATATTTCATTTTAAATAATCCTAGGATTTGTAAAAGCATGGTTTATATATCTTAAGTGATACTGTAAATTTTACTTAATATTATTCTTTTAACCATTTTTCCTGTTAAAGGCTTACAAGATGTCATCAATACATTTTATAACCTAAATTAATAGTGTGGAGCTGCAGAGCCCCTCATACACCTCAGCACAGGCATGGGGATCCCCCCACACAGAGGTACTAAAGGACTGGTACCTTGTATTTTTCTCAACACTGGTAAAATTAATAAAGGAACACTGCGCTTGACCTTACCAAATCAAGCTGACATGGTTAAACAGATTCTGCACTATGCCACCAAGAGTCCAACTTCATGCTAAAATTAGTGAAACCGGGCAGGTGCCACCAGAAGGCATGGTGACATTCCACCCTGAAGAAATATTTTCACTATACAGGACACAAAGCATGGGGTGAAGACCATCTGTTTCAGTCCACTGCACAGTTAGCTCGGGTAAGCTCAATCTAAACTGCATCCCAAAACAACTCTCCAGACACACCTCTCTTTTCCTGCCTGACACACCACAGAAATTCTGCAGCCACAGCCTTTTAGGCAACAATTGGTGTACTGTACAAAAAGTCCCTGAGTAATTCAATACATTCCTGTATTGAACTCCAATAACAGTATTCATTTTTGGAGGCTATTTTACTTCAGAAGTAAAAAAATATGTTTTGCCAGTTATAATTAAAACTAAATCTGAAAATAACTTTTGAAGAACCTCATAAAGTGGGGAATCGTGTTTTAAAGGTGACAATAAGCACTCCCAAAATTTAAAAACAACTCACAAAAATTAACTTATCATATTGTAAATGAAACACAGTATCTATACCCTCAGACAAACATACAACTAATGCAAATAGTCCAAATGAATCAGCAGATTTTTAAAAGTAGATATGGAGGGAAAAGTCCAAACACTGACAATACCACTTCCATTTTTATACTTACGTACAACACAGTACTAAAATGTTACAGTTATGTTCTGAAAGGATCGGTCAACAAGGACAGTCATTTTGAGAACATTAATTTTGCAACCCAGGATTTTAACAAAAATAAGTGACACTTAAAGACTAGTCTTTTGGCAAAAGTTGTGGTTGGACTGAAGTGCCTCTCTACTGCACCCACCATTCAGACCATAATAATGCACATGAACATAGGATGCAAACAGTGTAAAAACAAACCTGAAGTCTCTGCTTTTATCATTCAAAAATGCCATAAAAGTTAGTGGTGGAAAGCACATTAGGTTCAGTCCCTTCCTACCTGCCACAAGGCCCCAACTTTATTTCTATCATGGTGCCTACACCGATAGGCTTTATTGAAGCCAACCCCTCATGAGGCCTAAGGAAACACCATACATACATGACGATGCCAGACAGGGTATCAACATATGTGACCCATGACCAACACGGTTATTGTTTGCAGCTGCAGTTATATTAGCAAAACCATACTTTTAATAGTCACAGTTTTGCTGATGATTTATTTTGGTGTAATTGTATCCACATCACAAAGACTCTGCTGGCATCTTCAGCACTGACTAGCTCCTCAAACTGGAGTCCCTGCTTTCATATACTGGGAGGGTTTTATACTGGGAGGGTTTTGCTAATGTAGTTATACAGGTGCAACAACATTTGGGAAACTTCCCCAAATTGCGCAGAGAGTTATTCTTAGCATTAAGCAGCCTGCATGCAGATTCTACGCGTATTTCTCAGTTGTGCTTTACTCCACCAAACAAATCACAACGGGCAGTACTAAGGATCAAGCTAACTAACATAGCCTCGCAGAGGTGCAGGCTTGGAACTATACAACGTATCTTTCTAAAATTATACACATTTGGGAGTGAAAGGGGGTTTGTCAAAGAACAACTTTTTTTTTTCCACGTGCACAAAATGCTGAAAGGAAACATTTTACAGTTCAGCCTTCCCCAAAACTGAAGCCTATAGGTATGAGAAACATCACAAGGAGCCTGTGATGTGAGATAACGAGAAACTCGTGGAACCCACGTGAACACTTGCTACACCAGTATCTGCTGTAGTATGTTTACATAAAAGTTCAGGTAAACTGCATTTTTAGAAGTAATTCTTAGTACTCTTTAAATAAATTCTTTCATTAATACTGTACATAATTTCTGAAAATAAGCAGCTATTTCAAGGACATTCTATGATGTCCATGTAACTATGATGTCCAAAGCAGCAACTAACTGATGTGCATTGATGCAGGACAAGCACTTCAGTGCACCAATGTAAAATCACGAGATCTGTGGACCAGTATCAATCTGATCATGAAATACAATCTTTGTGTTGGACAGAGTGAAGGTTATGCATCAATTTCAGTTTCCACTTCCTATACCTGTTAATATTTGCCCTTGAAAATTTATACCTGTATAACATTAATAAATTTGTCCCATATAATTAAAATAGATAGAATTCTGCTGAATTTTCATGAAGAAATCCGTATGTGTAAAAGAAGATATTATGACAGTTGTTTGGATCTGTAGAAGGAAACATGTTCTGCAAGTAACACTATTAGCAAGTCAGTGCCAAAAGCTGCAAAGCACCTAAAGCGTACAGCTTAGGACAAGGGCATGTTCTGTCAATTCCTACTTCAGCTGGGGAATATTTCTTGTATTTTTCACTTGTGCAATGCCATTGTATGTAGTCTAATGAACAGAAATGCCTTGAGATGAACAAAAGATGATTCGGATGAAAAAATGCAGTTCTGTTACACATTCTCTTTAAGAAGTTATGTAAGGGAACACACCAAAACGCAAACTTCACTGTGATTTTAATATCATGTAATGAAGTATTTTAGCTCAGTTTCCTAACTGTACTGCCAAGCCCTAAAAGTTTCAGAGAACCAAACTTGCTTACAGTGCACAATTACAAAACTTATTTTTGCCCCCATTAAAATTCAAAAACACTAAGGAAAACATTCAATAGCTTCCCACACAATCACGTCCAATGACAACATTCCGCACCAGTATTTTAGCAGCGAATTAAAGTGACCCTTTACAAATCAGGCCACTTCTAAAAACACTCTGTCCTTTCCCTTGTTCTTCGGTAGTTCTATGCCCTTCAGCGCTTGACTAAACATTTGACTACCCTGTCCAATCAGCAAGGTCTAAATAGATCGTCTCGCTTCTTTTCCATCAATAAATACAAGGAGATTCATTAGTCTGGTACAGCAGACAATTAACTGCACACGACAAATTGACTGAACGTCAACTTGGCGGAGAAAAGCTAAACCTGTGACCCGGCAACCCCCGCTCACGTGGACGAAGCCTCCCCCAGCGATTTGCACCGATCTGGAGCTGTGCAAGGCTGCCGCCCCCCGCCCCTCCAGCGAGGGGGCCCACGCGAGACTGCCCCTTTGGGGAGGAATGCCAAGGGGTCTCCGAGTCCTTCCCTCCTTCACCCCGGGAGCTCCAG